GCAGGCGGACTCCAGCTGCCTGCAAACCAGCAGCTGCCAAAGTCTCCGCTCAGATGTCCACGGACTGTTAATTAGTCGGGACACACAGTCCTCGCCCCCCCTGGGATCAAAGAACATTTCCTGTAGGTGCTTCAGAGAAGAGTGTTTGTGTTCAACGGGAAGATATATTCTTAAAGCATCTGCCTGGAAACTGGACAATGTTACCTTAAAAAAGCTCCTCCTCTTGGTTTAAAAGAAAAACATATTCTGCTCCTGGTTTACAAAGATAAAAGTTCAAACCTCTACTGCTCTTCTCGGTTAGAGTTTCTTGCCTCAGGATTATAGCGGCTGAAACGTCTGATATCTGTCCTGTCTCAATAAAAATATGTGAGGTTGGAGACAGCGCTAGGAAACCCAGAGCGTTCAGCATCTTAGGCTGAATCTCATCCACACAGGTGTCAGGGTGCATGGAGGTTTGTAGACCATCCAACAGCAGAACTAACTAATTAATTAATTAGACTTTGACTCTTTATTTATCCCTCGGGATTACTCCTTTAGGGAATTTTACATCTGGTGACTATGAGGTTTGTGCATCTAAGTCTCAGCTCTATACTTATTTATATGCAACTAAACGCTGTACTCACCGTGTTTCTGCACCATGACTGGTTTCTATTTTTAACTGAAATTTTTAGCAAAATGTTTTTTATTGAACTCAAAGTGTTAATCAGGCTTTTAGTTCGCTAGACTGACTGACTGATCCGGGTGCGGCGTGGGGGGCCGGTTAACCCATCCAGATTTTAGGTTAACCTACTGGGTCATCCAGTAATCCGGGGACCGGCCATCGGCGCTGCCGGGTCCTGGGATTATTAGATGTGATTGTTATGTGTGAACGTGCGTCCGCGTTTTTTTTTTTTTTTCTTCTTCTCCTCTCCACAGAGACTGTGTGTTGTGAGTTGGGGCACCAGGGTGCGAAGGCGCCATTGAGACTGTCTATTTGTTTTTTTGTTGTTGTTTTTGTCAGGTTGGGGTCTGAACTACAAGCCTCCGCTAAGTGCGGAGCTCATTTTCCCCGTCCTGCTCTCCATTTGCTGGCTGGCGCCTGGGCTCGCCGGTGCACTGGCGGTAGCAGGTACTGGCTTGTCCTGGCTGCTGCTCTGCGGAGCCTGGGCCCCCGAGGCCCGGCCGAGGCTCCTGCCGAGGGGTGG